AAAATAGTTTACTGACATTTGACATAATTCCCTCTAGCCTACAAATGGAAGCAAACCAACTCTGCCATGTCAATTCCCACACATCCCGGAAGCCTCTTTCCTACTAACAGTATACTCTGCTTTTCTAGGCCCATCCATGGCTTCTAGCCTGATAGTAACTCCCAAATAACCTTTGGAAACATTTCTAGACCTCAGTTTTCTCATCAGCAAGTTGAGATAATTTTTACAATTCTCAGATGCCAACATCATTTTATCTTATATGCTACAGTACATTCATAGCTGAAGAGATAGGACATTCTAAAGCAGAACAGAACCACAGTATTGTGTTTCTACATGGATGTGCATGCACACACCCACACTGACACAGCATTCCAGTAAGGAATGAAACTGAATATGTTCCAAAGAACTTGATGTGCTAACACTAGGAATTCACCAATGACCATGGATTTGTGAAAGAGCACACATGCGGGGGCGGAATGATGGTTACAGTTGTGGGTCAACTGAAGAGTTTCACAAAATTAGAAGCCAAATTTCAGAACAAACTTGAACTTTGGAAAAACACTACCAATAAAATGACCACCTATTATCTGACATAGGTGACCTCTTGAGACTCAAGTCATGTTGCTCCCTCTCTTGTGCACTTCCCCATCCTGAGGTACAGTATCTTCTCAAGTGTTTCTGAGTGTGTCCACTACAGTTTCTGTTTCACCCCCTGAATTCTCTCTTTTCCTGGGGGATCATTATCCTTTCTGTTGCTTTTCTTTCAACAACAGGTTTCTCTCAAATGTGTGGCAATCCACATTTTCCCCTTCACACTTAGTAAATAAGAAAGTCGTTTATGTGTCTGTCTTTCATATAACAAAATCTTTGAGGGGTAGGGCAGTCTTTTATTTGCCTTTTTTTTTTTTTTTGACTGAAACATCTCACAAACTTGGGAATATTTAGAACATAATAATCGAGTCACTTTTTCAATTTGGAGTAAAGGTAACATTAAAAAATGAGGAGGACTGAGTCAGTTATGAAATCCTATTTTGTGACCAATAGTTGAACAGTTCTATCATTAATCACGCAAATGGAAAGGTTTCACCTGAAAAAGAGCAAGCAGAAGGAAGTAGGGGAATGGAGACTTTAAATGTAAAAGTCAAATAGTGATTGACTGTTGCAAATACCATTAACATGAGATGTACTTGTTCCATATCAAGCACCATTCTGAAAATTCAACATGTAATTCACCCAACCCAAAAGGTAGATAAMAATTTTGTTTTGCCATTTTACACACATGAAATTAAAAGTAAAAAACATTTAAGTAACTTGCTTGAGACCACACTGTTGTAATTGGTAAAGCCAAATGTGTTATCCAGACTACTTCTAAAATAGTCATTTAGCCCCTGCAGACCTAACAATTATGCATTAGAGACTTTAGAATTTAGAACTGGGAGGAATTTATTAGCAATTAGAATTTTCCTATGATGACTTATAAGATTAAATGGCAAGAATGTCAGGAATGCATATTTTCAATGGTCAAGAAGTTACTCCATCAAGATCTCCAAATTCAGGAATGTTTGACAGTGGCTTTGAATTCATTTGTGTATCTGTTCTTTTCAAAAGAAATGTAAAATTCTTGGAGGTATTGAGAAAGCCATAGAGTTTTTCATGTTCTTTCCATATTGTTCCATGTACATAAGTAAGCAAAATATTTGTTGGTTAATTTTGAAATACTTTCCACTGGCAAGCCTTTTAGAACAGGGTCGATTATCTCTCCTCTGTGATGTTGAGCATGAAGGCAACGGAACAGATTGATGACTTCTAAAGCTCCCTTCTAGGGCTGTGATTTGGTAGGGAACAAAAATAGACAGGAAAAAGCACCAACATCCTTATGTCCTTCTGTGGCACAGTTGGAAAGTGCTATGCCAGGATTTCTGATTTTAAAGGTTGTTTAAAAAAAAAAGAAAGAGAGAAAGATAAAATGAAGTTCTGAGCAATTCTCAAAATGGCTTATTGATCATGTCATCCAGGTCTTCTAAACTCCATCCTGGACATAAGAAATATCAAGTTGGTGTTTGGCAAAGGAGCTGGCCTTTCTGATGGCCTCAAGGAAGGATATAAAAGTCATAACAGCAAGCTGTCTAAATATTTCTAAACTATAGCATTCAAAGATAAGACAAGAGAAGCAATCATAAAGATTTCACCAAACAGTTGTCAGTAATAACACAACTGAAAAATTAAAGCAGGATTGGGGGTAATAGTTTCCAAATATCTGCTAAAGTGTTGAGAATACTTTGAAATGATGATTTTTGCCTCCAAATAATGGTGATTTGATATTATAAACAGCACAATATAATAATTTTCAAGCAAAAACTATATGGGTCACTTAGCAATTGACTTTATACTTGAATGCATTATTGTTCTATTTTTTAAGGCTAAGTGAAATATTTCTGAGTCATGAAAGGAAGCATATAGGATAATGATAATAGCCCTCCAAATCTATGCTTGACAATTTAAAAAGAGTTTGTTGTACATAACCATTTTCATCCAGAAGCAAAAACACGAAAACATGATTTGAAGAAAAGAGATATATGTGCCCTTATTTTTAGGGGAAAATGATGAGAGTACATCAAGTCTTTGAAAGCATCAAATGATCCAATAATATGAAATGTGGTTGATTTAAAAGTCATAATTTGGACCTCATTGAATAAGACAGGCCCTAACTTCTAAATAAGCCATGTATAAATTAGAATCAATTGCTCCTTAACAACTGCCCTCCCTAGTCCCCAAAACCTTTTCACACCCATCACAGATACCCAGTGCCTATGACCCTCTTCAAATCAATGAGCTCAGTTGTTAGGGCCGCTCCCGTCAGGAGTTATGCACACTGTTGGCCCCCTATCTAGCTATCACTTTATAGACCAACTATTGAGGACATTCCTCCTTGCAATCCCATGAGAGCAAGCCAGTTGACAAAGAAAAAATTTCAAAACCTACCCCCATCAGTATCCAGTTGACTTGCTTCCTTACCCCTCTTTAAAAAAAAAAAAATAACTAGGGTCAAGGTCATAAGAGATCTGACAGCTCAGAGCTGCCAATAATTAAAGGTCAGCTATGTGTGAGTCTAAAATATCTTAATAAACTGTCCTATTTGGCCTATCCTTTGTGATGTCATTGCTGTGGGAAACCATATACAGTTCTAACCAACTGATTTTGGAACAGATATCTAAATTCCTAGGCCAGGGACCAGGCATAATAATCATCTACCAAAATAAGCAGCAGAAGCTTAAATTATGGAATTGAAAATATTCCACTGGGAAAGAAGAAAAACTAAAATATTGAGAGTGTATATTTAATAGTTGTAGTTATAGAAGGAGAAAACCCATGGGCCAAAGAAAAAAGAAAAAGAAATTAAGAAGGCTTTTAGGTGAAACTAGTAGCAAATAATGATGTCCTGAGAACCCCTATAACATAATTATATTTCAGTCAGTTGATCCCAGAATCCTCGAGGCTTCAGAAATCAAGTTATTGAGAGTATAGTATCTTTTGTATTGAGAATGTCCTCTTTGTTTTAGGCTAAAACTATTGTCAACACAGCATGTTGACAACAAACAAAAAGAAAAGAAAAGCAAGCAAGCAAACAAACAAATACCTCTCTTAGTCCATCCTTTAAAAGAAAAATGCTGGGGGTGGGGATTGAGGGGGTGGGGAATAACAAGGCCTAGTCTCAATACTGATCTGGCTGGAATTGAAAAGGACATAATAAAGGTCACAATTGTATAGAACATGTGAACTCAACACTAAAGGATTTGGAAGCTGTGTGACTTTAACTTAATACTGTAAAATGTTTGTGCTTAATTATGAAAGCCTTTGGGGGCTCTTCCTGTTCCCCCTTCAAATGCAGGGAGTCATTGGTAATAAAAATTACCTGGTCGTGATTAAGAAAGACATGCGTTAGAGGCCAACCAAGGTCCAACATGGTTCTAACAAATTACAACTGAGCCTCTATTTTAGGGCAGCAGGATATCACTCTGGGGGATTTTTCCATCAGCCAAAGTACACCTACCTGAACCTTTGTAGATGTGACCTTCAATTAAGGCAACGATTTCCTCATTACCCATTTTCTACAGGGTTATTTTACAGAGATACTCCCAGGGAGCATGAAATGGGAAAACTCAGAAAGAATAAGAAAAGGGATCTTAAAAGCAGAATAGTCATTACAGCCTCAGGAGGAAGAGGTGGAATGTTTGAGAGTCTTTATAAAACTTTATTTTATTTATGCTGTTTTCCAAGGACAACTTCTACTAACTGATGTGGTTGTCAAAATTACAGCTAATATATCTTTTGTCAGATAGATGAAGAAGCTCCACTCTGGCTCTCCTCTTGTGTGTTAGAACAGCATGTGGCTGAGGAATATTTTTATGTTAGCAACAAGATCCACCTGCTGGATTTCATAATATTGAGAATGTTTGCTATGGCCACAGCTTAATCAGTATGAGCCCATCCAATATCTGTGTGAAGAATCAAAAATTGCCCCAAAGCCTTCTTTATCAAAAGCAGGGTACTCTCTATGTAGAGCTTCCAACCTCACGAGCAAGTTGGCTATTAAGTCTAAGATTGGTCTGAAAAATACTCTGAAAAAAATAATATACCTCTGCTACCAAAGCTAGAGATAATATAAAATGAGGGCCACCACCAAAACGTGTTATTCTTTGTCTGCTGTTTAATCTAACACCAACAGTGCTTTGTTCCTGGTCTTCTGATCAAACTTGGGAGTGAAGAAGCAGAAACCTAGATCATGGCACATTCTATTTTCATTAACAGTATTCACAGAGGCATGATGCTCCCAGTAACACAACACATGATCAGAGAAACAAAGAGCAATGTCTGTGGTTTGACCCATATCTTTTCAATAAATCTTTTTCTTAAAAGTTTCAATTTAGTTAATTTCCAAAGATTCTTCATGAAATAAATGCTCCTATTTCTCTGTTGAATAGTAATACTTACCGACTTACCTTATACTTAAAAGTAATCAGGCCGGGAAGAGTTCTGGTGAGGGTTTCTGCATGTTCTCTGTAGATTCTTTGTTTCTGTTATGGTCTTGGTCATTTTCTGTCACTCCTCTAATAGTGCTTTATTTTGTTATCATATTTTTTGACATACTGTCAACTCTCAGTATATTAGACACGGTCTCCATGGTTCACTTCAGAACTTCATGGTCTGTGTTAGAAACACATACAATTCAGAAAGAAAATATACTTAGAAGATTTCAAATATCAGAGAGAGTCAGTGTCGGTGAGAGCTACCCCATGTACATCCTGGTATTGTACTCCACATATTCAGGGACTCCACAATATTGGATTTTTTTTTAACTGCTCACCAAACAGTGGAATTATTCAATTTTACATCTGAAAAGGTTCTGAAAGATCATTTAATTCAACACCTGTATTTTATAGATGAAAACACTGGAAAAAAAACCACTGGAAGCCCAACAGAATGAAGTAAATTGCAAATCTATAGTTTTATGTTGCTTCAACATCCACTTGGAATGTAAGTTGGATTTCTCATACCAGAAGCAGGGCTTAGTCACTTTGACTTAATTTCCAGCTCTCTGCTTACTCCTTGTTCTTCAAGGTGATTGATCCAGAGATCTACCTTATGCATCCACCTCCTAGTGACCAACTTTCCATAGAATAGTTAAATGCAACCTATGATATTACCCTACAGATTCTCTCATCCCAAATAGACTGCACATATATGCTACAGTGACCTCCTCTCAGTCACTGTGGGCCTACACGGAACTCCTGCCTGCCCACTCTACACCTGACAGTTGAAATACCTTGCGGGAAACCTGATGGAGTAATGCCCTGGACTTCAATAAAGGCTGTGGCATGCAGGCCTCTCCTCTTTCTCTTGTTCTCTGCCTACTGGTGGAGCATGCATTTGTATCCTTGACATTTTTCTCCTTCCCAATTGTCTTATGAGTCATGCTGCCCTCTTCCCTCTGGGACCTGTGAGTAATAAAACGCTTCTGTTATTTCATGTATTTTGTTGAGTCGTCCTCTCTGTGTCTCATCTGACTGTCACTCCTGAACCTAACATTCTCTCTAATCAGGGTCCTTCCAGAAAAATGGTTATTCTTGGAAGGAATAAACTGAACATAGAACAAATAATAGCCATGGGAACATCTACCAGGATAAACCAGTTTTCTATGAGAGAGAAGAATGCTTAAAGGTCAGATATTTAGACATTAGGCTGTCTACCAGATAAAGAAATATCTTGTGAAAACCACATATAAATATTCAGAAGCACCACCCCTGGAACCCTACCAAGGGCAGGCCTGCTCCAGGAGATTCTGCAAGACCAAATTAGAGGAAATACAACAAAACAACATGATCAGAATTGCATGGTCAGAGTTGCAGGAGGGCAGGAAGTGGACTCCCAGCACAGTGCTCTGAAAGTAGGTTGTGCTTTCTGCTCTCCACTTTCATAGATGCGATTCCTTGATAATGTTCCCATCCCCATTGAAGCACGAATTTTAAAATTTCAAAAAAGGTCACATTTGCAAAAGAATAAACTACACCACAGATGTGTGTGGGCCTATTTCAAATATATCTCAATATAGTCAAGTAATTCTTTTGTTTCAATAGTTAACATATCTCAAGAAAACATATCTCATTGGCTGAAAAACAGGTCATTCGAAGTCTTTACTTTTACAATTTTATTTCTGCTATTTGGTGAACTTCACTGGGAGTCCACCAATTGTGGTCCATTCAAAACACTTGTTGAAGAAAATTTACCTATTTTATAAATGATTATTAAGCCATAACTGCGTGGAAATCTCCCCAATCTTCATTTTTTCCTTCAAAGATAGTTTAAAATTTCAGAGTTCAATGGTATGCTCCAACATGAGTATTTATAATTGTAATCTAGTATCCTTATAAAAATTTTCTAGAAATCTCCTTGCCTCTAAAAATGGGCTACGTATTGCACTTTCCAGCGATAAATTTCTTCAAAGGCCTTTGTGAGGAGACAGAGAGGAGAATAATAATGAAGACTATACACCAAAAAGAAAATGAAATTTTAAAAATTCACTGCTGTCTGCTTTATAATTTTACTGACAATTGATCCTGAATGAAGTACTAGCTTCAAATATCATAGGTTCATACTATTTGGATTTTTTTTATTTTAAAAAACTCTAAAAACAAAGCAAAATCAAACTCAGCCTATGAATGCCAACCATAATAAAAACTAAGAACCAAAAGTTTTATGTATTCTCACTTGAAAAAAAAAAAAAAAAACAACTAATGATAATAAAGAGAGCGGCCGATGAATTGTGGACTGTTGTGTCTATTGACAGTCTGGCATCCCTTCCCATTTCTTCTGGTAACAAAATTCAAATTTTAATTTTTTCTTAGATGCCTCTCTGCAGTCTGTCTACCATGCATTCTCATGGCCACATCCAGGTGGGCTGATCAGAGTAACCCCCATCTATCTGAACAACTGACTGGTCCAGGAACAGACACATAATCCATAACTCAAGTGGAGTAAGTCAGAATTTTATTAAAGGTAATTACATATTCTGGGGAAGACACCATCTTGTCCCCCTAATCCTTTCTTTATGATCATGGCTTTGAAGGACCACTTAAGCATGGAGCTGTCCTTAATCCTTTGACATGGTCCCGGAGAGCACTTCCTTGAGATGGAAACCAACTCAGAAGAAAACACGAATGATGTTGTGCTAACTGGCATCAGTTGAACCTTTGGCTCCAGCTATGCATGAAGCCAGTCTATTCCTTGGTTTCCCAGTCATGACCATCAAACCACTTCACTGTTTAAGCTAATCCAGGTTATGCCTCCTGCTGTGGAGCCAACAAACCCTGACACTACTCAATCATGTATCCTGGAATTTTTAACACACTCCCTCTGAAATGTGAAAGTTGCTCCACATATTTGCATAATAATAGGAATTCACTTGACATAATCAGAACAAATATCAAATACAGAAAATCAGATTTGATGAACCTAAGATGAATAACTGTTTTGAAACTCAAAGTGGATATTCTCAAACGAAGGTCCTAAGAGTCTTAGAAATCAATGAGACAGGAGTTTGTTGTGGCAGACAACATTAAATTGGAGTATGTTTGAGTAAATTTGAGTTTGAGTTAAATTTGAGTATGTTTGGCTACATCTAGTCCATGCCTCAACATAATTACTAAACTTGTGAAATCACAAAGGGGTTTATATTTGCAGGAAAAAAAAAGAGCTACATTGGAGAACGTGATGTTGTACAACAGGCTAGACAAAATAGCACCGTATAAATTTAAGGATGCCATCTGACCTCATAAAGTAAAAACTAATGGAAATTCCTGTAAATTTTCAAGAAGATAAACCAATTGTGTTATTTAGCTTTATTTTATCATAGTTTTAACATCACCTACAGACCCAAATTCAAAACATTCATTTCTCATATTTTATTCCATCACAGAATTGCTGCATTGGAACTCTCCATAAGCCTCAGTTCAGTTCTCCCACTTGTGGCATGAGGGGAAGAAACAATGACTTCAGAGGATGGTAAACCCCAGGTCTGTTTCGAACTCTGTGAATGAAAATTAAAATTCAAAAGTCCCAATATGTGCTTGCTTTTTTTTTTTTGCTGTGCATTTAAAAATGCAAACTGATATATTTTGCTTTATCACTTGTCACATTACAACTTTACTATCTCAACTTTTACATTTCTGTTCTTTTCAGTAGCTGCAAGTAATATTTATACTGGAAAAATCAAGAAAAAAAAATGTTCATGAGTAATTTTTTTTTTACCAAACATTTTTCCTTGCTGTCTGCATTACGATGTATCATCCCTGCTGGACTGTTTATATCATCATTTAAGCAAGAGGAAAATGTGCCTGCCAAAAAGTAACCTACTGTATTAACAGGCTGAAGGCTTCTAAAATATAAAAGCTCCAAAAAGAAACTTCTTGAAATATAAAATTCCTGTTCTGTTATGCATGACTTCCTTGGTATAATCTGAATATGAGGTATCCACCCCCAAAGTTCCTGTATTACAGAACTGTTCAGAGGTGAAAAGATTAGATTATGAGAATTTTAACCTAATCAGTGGATTAATCTGTGTGATGGATTAATAATTTGAAAAGTCTACTGTAGTCAGCAGTAACTGTAGGCAGGCGGGTTGTAGCTAGAGGAAGTGGATCACTGGGGGTGTGCCCTGGAGATTATCTTCCTTGTTCCCCTAGTTCCTCTCCTCACCCTCTGCTTCCTGGCCACCATGAACAGAGCACCGTTTCTCTGTCATCTCTTCTGCCACAATGTTCTGCCTTACCTTGGGCCTGCAGCAACCAAGTAGGTGAACTAAGAACTGGATCTCTGAACCTGTTAGCCAAAATACACTTTCCTTCTCTACATTGTTCTTTTCAGGTCTTTTGGTCACAGAGATAAAAAGGCTGATTAAAATAGGGGCTACATAGAAATTAGTACCAAGAAGTGAGGTTGTTGCTGTGACTATCCTGACCATGTGTTTCAGAAGCTTTTGGAACTAGTTTGTGGGAGGAGTTTGGAAAAGTTTGGATATATAGGCCTGAGAAGTCTTAGAATGTTGCAAGCAGAGCTTAATAGATAATTCTGGTGGGAGTTCAGAAGACTAAAATGCCAATAGGAATGTAGATAGTAAAGACAGTCCTCATGAAGGTTCAGATGGGAAAGGACTGTATTGGGAATTGGACTAGAGGCCATTTATGTTATATTCTGGCAAAATTTATCTTTTGTGTATAGTAATTAATCTGGCAGAGGAAATTTCAAAGCAGCACAACATTTAGTCAGTGGCATGGATATTGTCATCAACTTTCAGCCAGATTTACTGTGATAACCAGAAGCAAAGAGGAAATGAGAAGGATTTTTAAAACTTGCTGCTTGGCAAAAAAAAAAAAAAAAAAAAAAAGCAAGTAAATTGGGAACAAAGAAGGTATGGTTGTTAAAGTGATCACAGCCACTAAAGAGATGACAAGTACTTTTCACAGAGATAATATGAAAGACTGAAGGGATCTCAAGAACTGGTAAGACCAAAACCTTGCAGTCTCAATGGGTAAAAGTAAAATTTCTTTCAGAAAAGACTATGGGGGCACCCTACTCCCATGGGTGGGAGTGTCCTAGGAAGTTGTTTCACTGTGCTCAGCCACCAAAACATTCAGAGGCTATTGCTACCA